GGGGGGGGGGGGTGGTCCAGCGCAGATTGGTGGTGCGTCAGAGATGCCTTCGTGAATGATTTCGTGTGGGTGGAGTCGACTCATGCCGACCGACATGTATTGTGTGTGCCTTTATCCATGCGTGCAAGTGACTCCTGTACAGTCAATGCCATGTGCCATCGCAGACAGACACATGTGCCCTTACTTTGCAGAGCGCCATTCGTCCGTTTCCCTTGAGGTGAATGCGCTCAGTCAGTCGGTCAATACATCCATCCCATCCATCCCATCCGTCAAAACTGGTGGCCGACAGCTCGGCCTCCCTCCGCCCCTCTGTCTGTCTACCACTCCAACCATGGCATGTGATATCTCGTGTGTGTGTGTGTGTGGATGTGTGTGTGTATCTGTGGGCATTCTGTCTGTCTGTCTGTCTGTCTGTCTCACTCGTACTTTGACCGCATGGCGGCGCCGAACAGCCCCGACTGGGCCTTGTGCGCTGCTGGCGCCTTGGGCGCCTGCTGCTTGGCGGCGGGCTTCTTCAGCGTCACGTTCCACAACTACCGCCATCCATATCCACACACACAGAGAGAGAGACAAAGTAAGAAACATAGATATCACATCACACATGGCTGGCACATGCAGGCAGATCGGCGTACCTTGGCTATGTACTCGCTGGATGCAGGGATGAGCAGTCGCACCCCTGATGGGCTGGGGCCCGCGATGATGCTCTGCGCGGCGAGTGTGTCGACCGCGCCGATGTAGGTGTGAGCGGCGATGGGCGTGGGCGACACCACCTTGGGCGAGAGGGTTGCAAACACCTGCACACACGCAAAGAATCCGCTTCCGCCAGGCTTGCTTGTCGTGCTGCCCATTTACCTGGGCGTGTGAGGTCATCTGTGTGTCCATCAGGCCAGAAAGACTCTTCAAGTGCTTGACCAGCGTGCTCGCAACGCGATAAGCTGCACACGCAGAAAGAGACGAGATAAGACCGTCACGAGACGAACGAGATGGACACGGCTTTATCTCATGATGACCAGTGCACTGACCATCGACCCTCTCTTGGGCAGCAGCGGCGGCCTGGGCCTTGTTGGCCTTGATGCCCGTGTGGAAGATCTCCTGCAGGTTGGCGTCTCTCTTGATGAGTCGGGTGCCTTTGGTGGGGTCGATCTCGATGATGCCCTTCTCTTGCATCACCGAGATCGTCTCACGCGTGCGCGACAGCGAAGTGTGTGTGGGCCTCATCGCGCCCTCGGCTATGAGGTGGCTGATGCACTGCACTCACACACACAGAGGATGCACCCACATGGGTGGGTGGATGGGTGGGTGGGGGGGGGGG